TGGTTCCGCACCCAGGAGAAGAAACCGGGCTGCCGAAGAAGAGTGCACTAAACTTTAACCACTAGGCCTCAGGGCTGGCTCCCTTGCACCTTCCCTTTGTTGGCCTGCATTTCTGTATTACATCTCTTATCTATTTCTTGGCCTCTCAGTGTCTCCAGGTTCTTTCTGTTTTTGCCTCTGCTTCACATCTTACATCTTTTCTTTACCATAAGTGTTTGCAATCTGGGGTCTATCTTGCACTTACTGCGCATCTTAATTGAGATCTCAAATTTTCTTCAGAAATACTTGATCTGTACCTAGATTTCATGAGAGCTGCAATTGAAAAGGGAGATTCACACGCCCAACTTCTTCCAAATGTACTTAGAAAGTCTCCAATAATGGAATTGAGTATCAGCTTTCTAATTAAGATTAAATTTTAGTTTTAATTAGTTCCACTAGCTATATTTCAAGTGCTTAATAGCCACAAGCCATAAAAGGCAATGCAGCTCTACAGTGCTGTGTGACCTTGGGCTAAACTCTTGACCTCTCTAGGCTTCACTTTCCCCATTTATAAAGTGGGGATGACAAACATACCCACCTCAAAGGGTGAGAATTAAGTGAGCTACTCTCTGTAAAGCAGTTCACCCATCTCCACCAGTGATTCTTGGGACTGGAATGAAGACCTAAGCTCAGTGCCAGATCACACAGTACAGCAGGAACCAGAACCTGGGTTCAGAAAAGTCCATGGTGGCAGATCTCCAAGGTCAGGAAAGTACAGGTTCCACCCCTGACTTCAAGAGGTCAGGATTGTTGGTCCTCTCCTCCTGGGTCAGAGGACTTTGACTCAACTGCCAGGGTCATGATTCTGGGTCCATCATGGATTTTGCCTAACATTGCAAGAAATATGGTGCCTCATCTCCCCCACTCCCTTTTAAAGAAAAAGACAGAGAGAGGTGGAGAGGAAGGCCCAAGCCATGACAGGTGGACATGGACACATTCATTCACATATTCAGCAAACATGGACTGAGCCTGCCAGAGGCTGGGTGGGGGCAGGCTCAGAGTGATGACAGAGACAGGTGCAAGACCAATGGACATCAATCAAACTGGACCCAGTCTCTGAATGCCTGGAGTTCGGAGTATAAATAGGGAATCAGAGACACTGAGACAGAGAGAGAGAGAGAGCAGGAGAGAGAGAGGCACACACATACAGATTGTAAGTGAGGGTCAGAGAACACTCCTGCACTGTGAAGGCAAAGCCAGAAGCAGGGAGAGAGCCACCTGGCACTGGTCAGAGCAATCAGACATCCAGAAGAGCTGAATCCTCTACCTGCCAGGTCTCAGTCTCTCTCCACCTGACCTCCTCCACCTCTGAGAATCGCAAGTTCTTCCCTCTCCTTCTGTTTTCCCATCACTCCCATCTGTGAATGTCACACAAGAACACAGAGATTCACACTCAGGGACATATACCATGACCACCATGCAAATGCAAACACACCTTTAGGTATGAAACCATATAAGTACATTAAAGCCTGCACATATGAAAAAATATACACATAAACACATGCAGACTCATACACAGAAACACAAATGAGCATGCTCACGTGAATACAAATACACTTTCACACATGGAAATCATGCAAGCACACACACAGATGCAAGCAGACACGGACAAACACATGCAAGTAGACAATGCATGCTCACCCATACCCAGAAATATAAACACACACACAGGTATACACACAAACACTCATGTGGACCTTGGTATCTCTACCACAGTACCTATGCCAACATCTAGGGAGGGAGTACAGGGGGAGTGAGTCAGCAGGTCACTGGGCTGCTGGAGCAGGAATTATGGGTCTCTTAGCTCCTCTCTTTAAAGTTCACACTCCTGGACAATGATGAGAGAGGAGGTAGGGAATGGAGGAAGTTACATAACTGGGTGGGGAGGCAGGGTCAGGATAAAAGGCCAGCAGAAGGCTGCAGTGGGTTGGAAGGCAGTCAGACTGGGACCATGGAGCTCAGCGTGCTCCTGTTCCTTACTTTCCTCACAGGACTGTTGCTCCTCCTGGCCAGAGGCCACTTAAAGGCCCACAGCCGCCCCCACAAAGACCCCGTCCTCTGTCCTTCTTGGGGAACCTTCTGCAGATGGTGAGAAGAGGCCTACTCAAATCCTTCCTGAGGGTGAGATGCAGATGGACAGGGTCTGAGAGTGGCTCCCTGCCTCTGTATGAGGTGATCACTCCCCATAAGGAGTGAGGCATCCTTTCAGGCTCAGGGGTGGGATGTGTGAAGGTGAGTGAGTAAGGAGAACGGAGCTGTGCATCGTGGATGGTGGTCAGATAGTTAGAGGTGTTCTTGCTCTGTTGGAGGTGCATGGGCACTGTGCCTGGAGCAGGTAATTGGCTATGAAGTGGTGTCTATGTGTGAACCATGGGTGTAGCAATTCACCCTCCTCTACCATCTTCTGTCGTATTTCTGGGTGCCTGCTCATCACTGAAATAGAGAGAAAAAATAGTAGTGGCACTAATCAAGTACGTTTCTCCTCTGCCAACAAAAGACAGCAATGACTGGCTCATGGCAGTGCCAGGACAATGGGGAGGCAAGAAGAAGAGCAGGACACTAGGCAAGGTACAAAGTGCTTACAATAATGAACATTAACGCACTGTAATAGCTGCTGACACCGTGGAGTATTTACTAAGCTCTGTATCCCTGACTTCCAGGCATGATTTCATGTTTGATGATCTATTTATTTATTAATAATGCAATCCACACCTGTGAACCCACTACGGAAAAGAGAATTGGAGCAGTGACAATCACTTCCAACTGCCCTGTGCTTCTCTGTTCTCTCTCCCCCACCATGGCAACCACACTCTTGAATCTTGGGCTTGTCATCCCTTCACTTTTAACAGGGAATGTTTTATCACAGATATGAAGGCCCCAAGTGCATGTTATTTCATTGTCATTGTATTTAATGTATCACAAGCATACCATGCTTATGTGTAAATACCTGGACTTAGTTTCTTCACTCAGAATTCTGTGGCTAAGATTTATCTGTATGTTCGTGGGAATTCATCAGGTCTTGTTTGCAGCAAGAGGGCTGGGAAAGGAGCTATCCCTGTGTTAGAGGCATGGACAGTGAAACTCAGCCTGGGAAGGGCACTTGTCCACAGCCACCCAGCTGGGACTTCTCTGAGGTGAGCCTGGGTCCAGCACAGAGGTCTCTTCATCTCTAATGCCCTCATAAACTGAAGCTGCCTAATAATTTGGGGATCACTAAATCCTTTGGGAATTTGATTAAAGCTTTGGGTCCCCTCCCCTACATTATCCATACACATTTAGCATAACATTTTGAGAGTTCCAGATCCCCCTAATGCTCTTCCATAGATTCCCTTAAAAGATTCTCAAGGTGTCCATGATCCTCCATTATTATTGCATCTTTGTGGACAGAGATAGGGAGAGGGAGAGAGAGAGAGAGAGAGAGAGAGAGATTGAAAGAGGGAGGGATGGAGAGGGAATAATGGGTGATATGATGGGTCAGATTGGAGAGGGTGGCACTATTCCTCCTCCATTCCCCCATATGCTCCCAAATCCTTCTGGAGTCAGACAGACATGGGTTTGTTTTCCATATTCACCTCTTGCCCATTACTCAAGCTTTAATCTTGGCTTCCTACTCTGTAAAATGAGATGGTGACTCCAAGAATGCATGCCTTCTTAGATTGCTGTGAAGATTAAACGGGATATTGCACACAGTCTAGTGTATAGTAAGTTAAATGGCAGCTGCTTTGATCCACTCATTCATTTGTTCACTCATGCAATAATAATTTACTGGGCACCTTCTGTTTGCTGGGAAATATTTTAGACATTGGTGATGTGGCATAGCACAGGGCACATAAAACAAACAAATAAGGAAATATTAGGTGGACAAGAGCTATGATTAAAATAAAGCAGAGTGACATTTTAGAAGGTGGTGGGAGCTACTCTAGATTGAGTGGTGAGGGAAAGGCTCAGTGTTGGTTTGTTTCTGAGTAGAGACTCTGAAAGGTGCAGGTGGAAGGTACCAGAGAGAGGCAGGTGCCGGTGCAAGAACCCTGAAACAGAGGCAGAGGCAGAGACACGAGGAGTACCCCAGGAATAGGGACAGAGGGCTGAGAAGAAAGACAGAAAGAAACAGAGTGACACGGAGAGACCGAGAAGGAGACAGAGAGAGAGATGGAGGGATCAAGACCAAGAGAGACATGCAGGGACAAGAGAGAGAGTGGAAGAGTCTCGGAGGAGCAGAAGGATACAAAGCAAGAGAGAAACTGAGGCAGAGAAAATTAGACAGGTTCAGGAAACAGTCTGCAGGGGAGTAAGTAAGATGGACAGGTGAGATGCAGAGAGACAGGCTGCACCTACCTGATGTTCCTGGGCTCACTGCCCACCGTCTCTCCAATGGGGCTAAGCCTGGGGTACACAGACATCAACTAACAAGGGCAGAAGGATTCTTGAAGGCCAGAGCCCAAGAAATGGAGGGAAGAGATGAAGGTCCAGTGACGAAAACAGACAGGGAGAGCAGAGCTTTTCAATTTACATGTATGATTGATTGAACATCTACTCTGAGCCACACTGGCCCCTGGGACTGAACTCTACCTGCTCCCAGAATCAGAGCTGTGGCCTCACTGGGGACCAACCACACAAGCTCTGTAGCTGGATGGCTGGGGTCTGAGTCCTGGCCCCAGTGATGAGTAGCTGGGTAACCCTGGCCAAGTGACATAATCCCTCTATCGTCCGTCTATGAAATGGGGATAATAACAGAATTGCATTTTTCTCATGGGTTTTGGTGAGAATTGAATACAACACTATGGTAAATGCTTAGAATAGAGCCTGGCACCTAATACGGGCTAATGAATATTAGCTATTCCTGGTCCTGTTTTTTTCATCTTTCCTGAGTAAAAGAGGACAGTCACACAGAGCTGAGGCAGCAGACAAATACTTCCCAGGCCTTTGAGTCTGTGTCTGGTGACCCTCTCCTTCTCCCCCAGGAGCCCTCCAGGACCCCATTTTCTTCTTCCATGCCATTACTGCCAACATCATCTGTTCCATTGTCTTTGGAAAATGCTTCTCCTGCAGAGATGCCCAATTCCTCTGGCTCCTGGACTTGTTTTACCAGTCGAATGCGCTCATCAAATCCTTCTCCAGTCAGGTCAGGGAGAGAGTGAGGGACAATGGGAACAAGGAGGGCATCCAGAGCAGGGGAAAGGGGTGATCTGCCTTGTTGGCTATAAATGCAGCTTAGGGCTGGAAGATGGGCAGAAACAGCAGGAAAAGACAGGAACACTGAGACCTGGAGATGGGGGGAGGGATGGTGAGAAGGGGACTCAGAGACTAAAAGAAACAAAGGGGAGTGATGGGGGTGGCCAAAATAGAGAGAGAGAGACTAAGGAATGAGGGCTTGGAAGAGAGAGGAGAGAACAGGGGAGGAAAAGAGACAAGACAGAGAGAAAACAAGACAAAGAAAGGCATAATGAAGAGATCCTGAGGGACAGTTGAAAAGAGTATGTTTGCGTGTGTGTCTGTGTGTATGTGTGTGTGTGAGAGAGAATGAGTCACAGTTTCAGGCTCTCTATTCTTCTGTCTTTGCTTCCTCTGAATCTTTGCCTCTGTCTTTGGCAAATGCCCTCACTTGAAGAAATTCAAGGATACACGAAAATAAGAAACTACATTTCTTCATTTTCCCCATTTCTCCTCCTTTCTGTTTTAAAAAAATTTCTACCAGATTATAAAAGAAAATGCTCCTCTTTTAAAACAAAATAATTAAGTTTATCTTTCTGGACTAGTCTGGAAATACCCCTATTGTATGTTAAGTTAAAAATATCAAACTGAAGAACAGTATGCCTGGCTGTCATTCTTCACCAGCTGTATGTCAGATTCACAGGTAGGACTGTTAAGAATCTGGAATGAGGCCTGTGGTGAGTATTTGTGACAAGCCCAATGGTTTCAATTTTCTCTTACCATAGAGAACCATGGAGAGACAAGAGACTCGAAGGAGATCCTCCAAAAAGTTAATAACGGTTATGTATAGAAGGAGGGATTGAGAAGGAATTTTACATTGATACGTTTCTGCTTTTCTTTCAGTTATTTGCAAGAAGTTAGGTATTACATTTATCAAGAGACAAAACAGTACAAATACGCTAAAGTAAATAAATAGTCTAAGTGCTCAGTAGGCTTATCTTGTGTAAACATCGTGTTGTCAATGTCTGACACAGCAAGGGAGATGCAAGAGCTGGAAGGGTCATAGAGAGGTTTGAGCAAAACAGATAAACTGCTGAGGTAGGCAATAGAAGGCCAGAGAGAGGATCAGAAGGCGAAACAAACAGAAATAAGGAGAGGTGGAAAGGAGAGATGGAGAGGTGGATGAGAATGAGACATGAGGATGAGAGAGGAAGATGCAGAAAGGGAAAAATGTGAGAATAACAGATCAAAGGAGACATAGAATCCGTGAGCAAGGGACTCAGATACAGAGAGAGACAGAGAGACAGAGACAGAGACAGAGGGAGACTGAGAAGCCCATTTAGGGCATCAGGGCCCGGCTGGGTTGCCCCTCCATGTGGCCTCCGCCCCAGGAGGACCTCACAGCCCCTTCTCTCCTGCCTCTGCAGGTGTTCGAGCTCTTCTCTGACTTCCTGCAGCACTTTCCTGGCACACACAGGCAAGTCTACAAAAACCTGATGGAAATCAAAGCCTTCATTGGCCACAGTGTGGAGGAGCACCGTGAAACCCTGGACCCAAGCAACCCCTGGGACTTCATCGATACCTACCTGCTCCACATGGATAAAATGGGGTTTGGGAGAGGGGAATTGGAGGGGAGGAGAGAGCAGAAAAGATGAGGAGTGAGAAGGAGGGAGGGGAAAATAGGAAAGAGTGGGGAAGCGGGGTAGGGAATAACAGAGGATGAGGAGGGGAGATAAGAAAGGTAGTGGAGAAGCTGGAGGAACGGAGTGAGGAGATGAAAGGAAAGAGTAAGTAGAGAAGAGAGAGACAGATACAGGAAATATAGAAGAAGGGACTAAAATACAGCAACAGGTGAGAAGACCCACAGAGGCAGGAAGGGGCTTTCAGAGGAAAAGAGACAAACACGCCAAAGAGATGGAGAGAGAGATTGAAATAGAACCAGACAGAGTGAAGAGAGATAGAGACCGATATAGAGCTATGTGGTTGTGCATGCAGAGGATAGAGAAAATTAAAATGAGCCAGGTGGTATGAGAGACCCAGAAATTGGTGGAGGGCATCCCAAGAGACATGACAGCAGTGAGGCTCTAGCCTCCACTAACATCAATCTTACCCCCCTGGACCCAGGAGAAGTCCGACCCGAACAGTGAGTTCCACCAGCAGAATCTCATCCTCAGTGCACTCTCGCTTTTCTTCGCCAGCACTGAGACCATTAGCACCACTCTCCGCTATGGATTCCTGATCATGCTCAAATACCCTCACATCACAGGTGGGCAGGTGGGGGACAGCCAGTCGATGGGGGTCTTCTGACCACTTTTGTGGCGGCAGAATTGAGGCTAGGAGTCCTTCCTCAATGAGAGAGGGTGCCTTCCCCTCTTATACCTGGATCACTGCAGGTTTTGAAGGAGGCCCCAACAGGGCCAGTGCTGTTGGTGGATGGATGGATGAAGAGTTTGTCAATCTGTTCTCCCACTGTTTCCTTTGATCACTTAAGGACCAATTCATCCATCCACCCACCCATCCACCCACCCATCCATCCATCCATCCATCCATCCATCCATCCATCCATCCATCATTGGTCTGTCCTTTTATTCATTAATTAACTTGTATCATCAGTTTCTTTTATCTATGATTTATCCTAAAACATACACTTCTATTCTTTTTTTGGATGAATTGATTAATCTGTTCATCCTTTGAAACACTGATTAATTGAATGAAATATTTGTCATTGATTTATTGGCTCATTCATTTCTTCATGCATCCATCTGTCCTTCTATGAGCTAGATCTCATTCTTTAATCCTTCCCTCAGTCAGTCTTTCAATTCATCCTTCATCCCTATATTCCTTCATTTATGCATTTAATAATTCACTTGTTTACTCATTCTCGATTTACTCATCTATCATTCAATCCATCCATCCTCTTACTCCTCTTTTAACTCATTTCCTCACTAATCTATTCATTTGCTTATTCCTTCCTAAATCTGGCCATTCACCCATTTGTGTGATTTATTGACCTACGGACCATTTATTAATTAATGATTCATTAGTTTATCTATTGAGTCTTGAGTAAATAAATACATACATTTATTAATGTTCTTTTATTCATCAATCTTTCCATTCATGAATTGATCCACTGGTCGGTTGATTGTTTTATTCATTATTTATCCACTTGTTCATGGACTAACCTATTTACCTATTTCACTGTTGTATTCCTGAGGACCTAGCACAATACCTCATCTGTCCTACATCTAGAATAATTAGTAGTTCATTTTTCAACTCAACTTCGAGAATTTTGACAGGATCATAGCCTAGGATTATTAATCTGAAATTCTATGCAAAAATGTGGCCTACATGGGTATGTGTGTGTCTGTGTTTACCTGTGCATGTGGGGAGAAAATCCATAACATTCATTAGATTTCAATGGGTGAGAATTCTTGTTACTTCCTCCCTCCTCCCCCCACCCCAAGCTGATTGCTCTGAGGGGTGTCAATAGGCTAACCCTTTATTATAGATATTTTTTGGTTCCTTGGCCCATAGAGCAGTGTCCCTGGTGAAATGTCTCTTTGAAATGAGGTTCACTGGGTCTACTCCTTTGTGCAGAGAGGGTCCACACGGAGATTGATCAGGTGATTGGCTCACATCACCACCTGCCCTCGATAACTGAGCCAAAATGCCATACACTGATGCAGTCATCCATGAGATTCAGAGATTCTCAGACCTCATTCCCATTGGCGTTCCCCATGTGGTCACCAGAGACATAGACACTCACTTCCGAGGGTGCATCATCCCCAAGGTGAGACCAGCTGAGCTCCCACATCTGTCCTAGGTGGGCATCCTGGGTTCTCTTAATCTCCAAACTTGAACTCTTGTTGGTTTTATCAGTAGGGGTCCTCTTGTTTTGTTTTAGGGATGGGGTTGTGATCTTCCCTCAGGGCACTGAAGTACATCCCATCCTGAGCTCTGCTCTCCATGACCCACGTTACTTTGAAAAACCAGATGTATTCAACCCTGACCACTTTCTGGATGCCAATGGAGCACTGAAGAAGAATGAAGCTTTCATCCCCTTCTCCATAGGTAAGCTGGACTCGCACTCCCTTTCCCAGACATCAGAGTACAGGTGCCATCCCATACTTGAGTCAATCAAGGAGAGGTCTCTGTTTTTTGAGCAGTGAGTATGTGCTAGTTGCCTTACCTGCATTAACTTACTCCATCTTCACTACAACTCTAAATGGGGCTTGAGAAGTGAGATCTCGTCCCAAATTACATCTTGGCAAGCTGGACCCTGGACAAATGTTTCAACCTTTCCAAATCTCAGTTAAAATATCTGTTCAGCATTACTCTGAGTGCAATGTGTGTTGAGGCTGAAGATAATGCATCAAACAAGTCACATAGAGACATAGGTCCTGCCCTAGAAAATTTATTGCCAAACAGGGAAGATGGACATTCATCATATGGTTACAAAGTAACATCTAATTGAATGAATTAATGCTTGCAATGTGCTTAGAATGGCTTGACAGAAAGTAAGTGTCAAAGGGGCAGTTATTATTATTATAAGTAATCATAATTGTGATAAGTGCTCTAACGAGGACTTTGGGAACACAAAATAGGAAGTACTGACAACTGTTGGTATGTTGGTGGGGAAAAGCTTACCTGAAACATTGGATTCTAAGCTAAGACATCATGAGCATCAACTGGCCACTGGGAAGACTGTTTCAAAGCAGAAGGAACAGCAAGGGCAGAGCCTGAAGGTCGATACAGCATGGTGCACTGAGGAACTGGAAGATCCCAGGAAGCCTGGGGTGTGGATTCCAGAAGGGGACAAGGGTGGTGACCTCTGCTGGAGGGCCTTGAAAATTGGGGGGAGTTTGGATTTAACCTGCCTGGCACTGGGGAGCCAAGTAGGGTCTTGACATACTCTGATGTGTCTCTAACTCCGTTCCCCACTTTTTGGCTCCATTCAGAGAAAACCTCTAGCCCCAGAGTCCTCAACATTTGGTAGAAAGGAAGACCTGAGAATCAAGTCCCTAATCTTGAGTTCCATCAGTGACTTCAGTGACCCAGGGCCCTGCCTCTACCCAGTGAGATGGCCTCACCCTTCTTTTAATCTTACGTGAGATTTGGGGGCCTTGTGACGGGGTGAGGGTCAATTCCTTCATTCAGTAGTCCTGTCCTATATTTAGAGAGAGGCAGAGAGGTGTATAAATAAGGACAGAGAGTGAGAGAAGTATAGGGTGAGTGAAAAACAGAAAGAAAGATAAAGAGAGACAGAGGGAGATAGAGACAGGGGAGATAGTGGTGGAAAGAGACATAGAGTGAACGTGAGACAATAGAGGGAGGAGGGGAGAGGGAGAAAAAGGAGGAAGGAGGAGGGGAGACAGGAGGAGAGAACGGGGAAGAAGAAGGAGAGAAACAGAAAAGAGAAAGAGAGAAAAAGAGAATGGTTTAAGTGGAGAAAACATAGCAAAAGAGAGAAAAGGGATCTTTAGAGGGAGATGAAAAACGAGAGCTAGAGAGTTGCATTCAGATTCAGATTCAAATAGAGACAGAGAGGTAAACAAGATGGAAGAAATCAGAAAAAGAAGATACAGAGAAGAGAGACAGAGAAACAGTGCCTGACAGGAGATATAGACAGAGAAAAAAACTGAGTCTGATCACCACGGGCAGAAAGACAAGCTGAACAAAAATGGTGTTAGAGATGCCAAAAAGAGATGCCAAAGTTTGTCTAAATGGACAGCCCCAGGGATGGGGGGGTTGGGGTGGGAGGGAGATAACAGGCATCATGCTGTTCTAGAAAGAGCTGGGTTACAGAATCAGTTACAGGAGAAGAACCAGCCCTGCCCCCAGTATCTCTAAGCTCATGTCTCCTAACTTCTGGATGCTCCAGAAAGATGTGGACCCTTCCTCAGATATCTCCACACAGGCACAACGTCTATCAACTTGAAAGGTTTAGCAAATTCCTGGAAACTTGTTCTTTACATGACCTTCCAAGGCTGTCAGATTGCAGATGAAGAACCATGGAGATAAAGGAGGAGGCTTTCAGTGTCACTCCCTCTTCCCTCACTTCTTTCCAAGACTGTGGAGGGGCAGAGAATGGCCCCTCACTCTCTCCATGTCATCTCACCTCTGAGGGTCCCATTGCAAGACTATACCCTTCCTCTTCCTTGGTTGCTGCCTCTGTGGAAAAGTCCTTTCTGTGGTCTTACCTCTTTCTATCATGCTACAGCTTTTAAGGACTCAGGGGATGTTTTCCTTTCCTTTGTTAAGAGAATTCCAGAAGTGTTATTCCTATGGAAGTGAGGGCTAAAGGGGAAACCCGGCTCAGGATCTCTGCAGTTCCACCTCCCAGGTCACAGCTCACCCCGAGAGACTTCCACTTTCCTCAGAAGAGCCACAGCCTCCACTTTTCACCTCCTTGTTCTCCACGATCTGTGCATATATGATCCTGCTTGAATCCTCCTCCCATTAGCCTAGTGTGGTGGGTACAATAGTCATGTCCTATGGCATAAACAGGGGCTAGTCAGTGGAATCAGCTGTCTGAGGTCACATGGCTACTAAGAGGAGGAGCATGATTCACACTCTGTCTGCCTGGCACTAGAACTCAAACTCTTCACTATAGTGATACTGGTCCTGATATCAGTTCCCCTACATCACACCCCGCATATATGGGGTTAAAACCAAAGCACTCTTTCCCTGCTTACTCCCTGACTTCTGCTCAAGAATACACTATCTGCCATGGAAACAAACAACCAAGGTCACCTGCCTGCAAATTTCCTTATCATCTCTCCCTCCTCCCTGCAAACAACATCTTTAGGCTGAATGTAGGCTGGTGGGAAAACTCCAACCAGCAAAGGCACTGACTCTCCTCCCTCTCTACAAGCAGCCACATTCCTCACAAACCTTTAAAACCCCTTGCCTCAGGGTATCTGCGTCTGTGGGGCAGGGCCCATGTGAGGACCAGTTGAACTGTGGGGGCCATTGGTGGAGAGGTGGGGGCCTCTACAGTGTGGCATCAGGGTACACTACAGGGGGTTGAGAAGTTTGCATGGACCAGGACTGTGTTGACGGTGTGTGTGTTCCTGTGCGGGGTGAGGCTTATCAGTGGCAGAAGACTGTGCTTCACAAATAGCCATAAAAAGGATCAGCCCCACATTCCAAAGCCTAAAACAATTGAGTGCTCCCTGCTTAGGGCCAGCCCCACTCAGCTGCACTCCTAAGAGAACCGACAACAGCCTTGTAGGCCTGAGGCCTATAGCAACTGTAAGCCCCTGAGCCTAGCAACGAGCTACACTGGGTATCAACCCAATTAACAGGAAAACTGCAATAGGAGTGTGCTGATAGGCTTTGTAGCCAATGGTGCTGAGGTTCCCCAAACTGGATTTACAAACAGCAGGCCAGGGAAGGAAAGACTAGACTCCCTGGGTACCTGCAATGGGAGCAACCCTGCCACAGCGGAAGGACACAAATAGCCCACAAAGGGGTCACTCCTCGTTCTCATGGACTGGTGACGAGAGGGAAGCACATTGCTTGGCCTCATAAAGCATCTCATACATAAGGCCACTTCTCCAAGATCAGGAGACATAGCCAACTCACCTAAAACCTAGAAATAAGCACAGAGAAAGAGCATAATGAGGAGACAAAGGAATAATTTCCAAGCAAGGGAACAGGACAAAACCCCAGAAAAAGGACTAAATGAAATAAAACCCCTTGCCTCCTCTCTTTTGGGGAGATGAGACGAAACAAAACAAATTTGAGGGTTCACTCTCGTCTCCCGGCTGATATCACCAGAAATAAAAACCACTTCCTTGCCATTAGGCTGGCATTCTAGTTTTCATTTGGCCCTCTTGTGTGGTGGATAAAGAACCTATGTTTGTAGGCAGTAACGATTGCTCCTTCTTCCTCAACATATATTTTAAAATTAAGATGAAATTCACATAACATAGAATTAACCATTTTAAGGTGTATGATTTAGTGTCATTTAGTTCATTCACAGTGTTGTGCATCCATCACCACTATCTAGTTTCAAACACTTTCATCACCTAGGAGAAAACCTTGTACCCATTAGCAGTCATTTCCCATTCTCCCTTCCCCTCAGCCCCTGATAAACACCAGTCTGCTATCTTTCTCTTTTGATTTGCAAATTCTGGAAATTTCAAATGAATGGAATCACACAACGTGTGATCTTTTGTGTCTGACCTCTTTCCCTCAGCATAGGTTAAGCACAAAATCTTTTAATTAGTGACCAGAATGTCATTTAAAGTTTTTCTGATCCTATGGTTGTTTACTGCATGGACCTCTGATGGCAATGTCTTTTTACAATGGGCTCATTCCTTTGCTTCACATATTAATCAGTCCAATTGTTGAATATGTGGCCTACTTCCCCTTTCTAATACATATGGGTTACCTTGGTGGGTTTCTCCCTTTGCAATGCTCTAAAACAATTTATTGTGGCAGAGAGGTAGACTTCCAATGTTCACAGTTCATCTGATATTACTAACTATGATCCTGAAACCTGGCCAATAGCCAACGCTATTAATGGTACAGGACATGGTTATTCCTTTTCTGTTGCTCAAACTATTCATTTATCCCAACAATTTGTCACTAAACAAAAGAAATTGGATTCTACAACAAGAACTGTGGGAGGTTTCACACAATGTGACATGGATTTGTTTGATTTACTCCTAGTTATGGGTCTTAAGTACATGAGCACTTTCATCCTGGAACAGAGAAATCATGCCAAACAAAACTTAACAGTAACCAAAATATGGCATGGATAGCTCTGCAGTCATGTGAAAATGATACTGACTCAACACAAGGTTGACATAAGAGAAGCCATATTGTAGTTAGGAAACCACATTGTAACTTTAAATGACCTCTGATTAACTAGCCCAGACATGTGTTACTGAACCAGGTTTGTTTTTGCCCACTGCTCAGAAAGCCAAACACCGAGAGGACAAGATTGCAACAGAGAGAGGGTTTAATCACAAGGCAGCCATGTGAGCAAGGAAGAGCAAGAGTCTCAAATTCACGTCCCTGAAAATAGGGACTCAGGGATATTTATGGGATAGGAGGCAAGGTGGTCTGAAATGTGGAGAGAGGTGATTGGAGGTGAGGAGAGGTTAGTAATTGACGACATGTGCAATCATAGCCAGATAATGCCTCTTCATGGGACCCACATTCACAAAATGGCAGCATTAGCATGATCTGAGGGTGGAGATTTTAGCCTCTTGACGTCAAAAGGTCACCTATCGGACATCCGCACAGGCCCAGTTGATGAGTTGGTGGTCTCATCTGGCCTGAAGTGGACAAGGAGTTCTGATTCCTGAAACACACTTCACATACCCATTACCATGGTGACCCAGGTTCCAGGGAGATGTTATCTATAGGAGCCTAGTGAGAGTCAGGTAGCATATTGCCTAAGCAGCACAGTTAACAATGGGTGGGTTAAAGAGCTAAAAACTATAATCAGTAATTGCAAAAAGGGAAAACTTTAGCACCTAGATACTTAATCATCAATGACTGTTTGCTGGTTTCACATGCTCCGTAGATTTTGTGGCCCCTGCCAGCTGAATTAAGGTGATAACTTTGTTCTTTTGAGTTCCTTAGGAATGTGATGACCCCCAGGCAGAGAGCCTATGCTGATAGCCATCATCAATGACAACTGAAAGATCAGGGTATAGGACATCGCTCCACTCTCTGATGCATATCCAGTAAGACAATGCAGTATCAGGAGCTGGGATCAGATGTCTGCCCCCACACAGAGACCAGCAGCCTCCCCAACCTGGAGAATAGCCTGTATATAACTGGCTTGTCTTCTTTGTTCGGTGAGATGGTTCTTTCTGAGACGAGTCGGCCATCTTCCCTCTTGCTAGCAAACTGTAATATAGTCCTTTCCCTCCTACCACCTTGCCTCCTGACTTCCTAATAGGTACAGAGCTTCCTTTTGGGATGATGAAAATATTTAGGAAAAGATAAAGATGGTGGTTGCACACCATTGTGTTTGTACTAAACGCCATTGAATTGGACACTTTAACATGGTTAAGAGTTAATTTTATGTTCTGTGAATTTCACTTCCAAAAGGAAATGATAATAGCAAGGCAGCACAGATAGCCGTTTTGCCTAGAAATGGTAGAACTTTATTTTGATCTCGCTGATTTTAGAGGATAAAATCAGAGAGGTAAGGAAGATATTTTTGAGTCACACAGCACATAAGTTGTGCGCTGAACTGGTCTTTTCAACTCAAGTAGGTAACAGGAGGGTGGGGGTGGGGGGTGTAGATGTGGACAAGGGACACCTGTTGCTGCTGTCCTCGGTAATCTTGGATGGAAACCTTTCCTTCCTTTCGGCCTCAGTTTCCCTAAGTCTGCTAGGGATGGTGGTAAGTTATTGAGTATTTCTTGACCCTGAAACCCTGAGATTTTACTCTCCATCAACAGTGCAGGCCGTCTGGGATAAATGGTGACTACAACAGGCTGGATGAAGGAAAGACTACAGAAAGTACTTTCCACTGGGGAGAGTGAACAGGGAGGAGTCAGGAGACCTCCACAAATTCATTGTGGGCAGAGGTGGGGGCTGGATGCAAAGATTCTGAGGGGGTCTGCATCCCTTGTCCCCCTCCCTGGCGGGGAAGGAAGGACAGCTGGAACACAGAGGGCAGCTTTGTCAACCCATTTATCCTGGGTGTGAAGTCAATGTCTTCTGGGGCCTGAGGAGAGCCCAAGGAGAAGTTCTGCAGCATCGAGGTCAAGATGAGGAAGAGCTGGGAGCGAGCCAAGCCCTCACCCAGACAGAGACGTTTTCCTGAAGACATAAGGGACATGTGTGTCACTGGGGGGAACCCTCTGAGAGCACTTGCTTGTTGAACCCCCACTCACCCAGGACATTTGCAGGCTCATTTACAAGACTTACCTGTGAGGTAACTCTGCTCCTATTCTTGTCCTCAATGCCAACAACATGTGTGTGTCTGTGTTTGTTTCTCTCTGTCCCACCTCTTCTCAGCCTATCCCCTGCCGTGACTCACACTGTCTCTCTCGGTCCTTGTTTTTGTCTCTCTTCTGTTATCTCTCTTTCTCTGTGTCTCTGGTTAAGTATATTCTCAACTAAGTCAATTCATGAGATAATGTGAAACCATTGGACTAGCATGCCCTGGTTATGAGGAGCCATGAGAGAGAGGTAGAGGGGAGCTGACACCTCTGCGGCCCCCATCCTGGACTGATATGCAGTAGGTGGGCACCAGGATCTGGATTGGCCATTAAAATACTGAACTACTTCTGAATGGGTGATGCACAGCCACTGTTCTAAGCTTCTGAGTGCCCCCACTTGTCTGGTCACTTTGACCATCCACCTGGACCCTAGACCTGTCCACAATCAGCATCAAATGGGTAAGCCTCCCAGACTATGTTCCAACGCCACCACCAGTGGCAGTTATGAATGGTCAGTGGCCCCATCACACCTGATAAACATTTTGAATAGCTTGCCCCACCCACCCTTGACCTTAAGTTTCTGCCTCTCATAACCCCTACTCATCTTCCTGCAAAATGGGATCCATCATCACAAAATTGTCCCACCTCGAGGGAGCCCCCAGGGTTCACTGTTGACTTAGCACAAGCTTGTGTCACTGGCATAATCAAGAGTGGGCAGCAAACTTGCCCCTGGGCTGGGCCATAGTTTGGACCTGCAGCATCAGTGGGAAAGGGATGCCCCACCCAGTGTAGTAAAGTGCACTATTGTTCACAAATATTCAGGGCACATCCCTGGGTGCATTTAACATCTCTGCCATGTTGAACTTGGATGGAACTTGCTTTGGCCAATCAAGTGAGGGCTAGATGGATGTCTGCCATGCTGTTTACCCTGCTTCTGCCTGTGTCAGGATAGAGTCTCTGATAGTCCCCATCTCTACAGGACTGTGATGTCCTGGGATGGGCATGTTGCATGAGCATGAAATTCACTTCTAGGCTTTAAGCTGCCTAATTGTTCAGGTTGTTTATCACAGCTCAACCTGCCCTGAGTAACATATGTCATGACTTCCTAGGGGGCCTCGGGCAAGCCCCCTGCTCTCTGGGCCTCTCTTGCTCCAGTTCTACGAAAGAGTGCCTGGTTCAACACTAAGACATCCACTATAGTTTTTTTTAACAGGTCAAAGGAGAAAAACAATTTGATCATGTGTCAGGAGCCAAAAAGATAGTTGAGAATTCTCAACACAAAATTCTGCTGGAATTTTTTAAAAAGAAGAACCTTTTGTAAAATACATCAGATTATAAATATACTAGAAACAGATGTAAGGAGATTTAAAATTATAGCGTATGATAAATTTCAAGTGAGTTGCTAAAAGTTGAATTATCTGGTATGTGATTGGATCAGGACAACTGCAGGACCATAAGAGTGAGAATTCCCCCAATTATTGTGCCCTAAGTGCCTTCTGGGCCACACTCTAGTCTGGGGCTTGGATTTTAACAACTGGCTCATAAGAAATAAGTCATTGAATTTTCCTTCTTTCCTCTTCCCTTCTGTTCTCTTTCTTCCCTCTGCCCTTTCTTTTATCTACCAACCTATCATCTATGTATGTATGTATATATGTATGTATGTATTTCTCTATCTATCTACCCATCCATCCATCCATCACCTACCTTGGTGTGTGCCCACATATTTAGTAAAAAGTTTGAAAGCACATCTTCTGAAACATTAACAGACAAGATTTTGGTAGTGAATGCAGGTGATTGTCACTTTCAACTTTACTTCCTTATTTGTATAAAAAATGGAAAAATTATACAGTTACTTTTATTTTGAAAGAAAAGCTGAACATGCTTTTCCCAATTCTTGGAACATACAAGTGATCAATAATAAATTATTTTCTTTTCTGTTCTTTGTGTGTGCATGTGCATGCATGTGTGTGTCTTTGTCTGTCACATTATCTCCATCACTGATTTCGTCTCCATCTTTCTCCCCCATCATCCCTCCTCTCTCTCATCTCCCTCACAATATCTCTGTGTCTGTAGATGTCTTACTTTCTCTTTCCTTCAGAATCCTCATCTTTTTCAAAGGTGTTCACCCAGTGTTTGGGGTTGGACAAAGGGAGAAAATCACACACAGACAGGAGGTCAGCAGGCATTCTCATAAGATGGGAGGGCATGACTTACCCATGGAGAAAGGAATGAAGGCTTCGTGCTTTCTGAAGTTGCCCTCTGCATCCAGAAAGTGACCAGGGTAGAAGACATCTGGCTTCTCAAAGTGGCGTGGGTCATGGAGGACAGAGGTCAGCATGACATACACAGTAGTGTCCTAAGAGGACATCAAAGCCAAGGGGGCCCAAATGGCCATCAACAAGGAGCAGTTGAATCAACGATGGTACATACACAGTTGACAATAACCTTTATCCGCTGTATGGTCTACAGTTGATGGTTAAAATAATTGATAAAATGGTGAATGGAATTATTCTGCCCCATTTGGTTATTGGTTGTGCCCTGAGCTCTCCAGGAATCTCCACTGAGCACCTTGACTCTTCTTCCCAAACATCCTTTGGACTGCTCCATGAACCATAAAGTAAAAGGGTCACATCTGGCTCAGTGGAGGCCTCCAAGGACCCGACTCCTGCACAAGGACAGGAATCTAATAAGATGGGTGTGCCCATTGGGTGGTTAGATATTATGAGTATCACTCCTAGGTACATCAATACTCAGGAACATTTGCGACCATGGAGACAATGAGTTAGAACTCTATGCCTTGACCTGAAAATATATTGACAGCATACTCTTATACTGTAAAAGGAAAGCCACACACATACAATCACAAAATAAAAATAGGTTGAAAGTGTATTGGTATGAGCATAAAGACAGGAAGGGGTGGAAATGTGCACACTACACACAAGTTTCAAAGTGATAGATACAGTATGAACTGATATTGGTATACATATGTGGTATATGTCCATATAATTCAAAGAAAGTGTGGAAGGAGAAAAGGCAAATTGTGAATGCCTTCTCAAGAATGAGGAAGGTAGGGGAGATGATAAAATAGTTTGAAAATAATGCCCTATTGTATTACAAGTTTCAACAAGTATATATACTTTTTTCAGAAATCTAACGTCTAATAAAGGAAAAATACAAGCCAGACAAAAGGGAGAATTCTTCTCTGTATTTCTAAAATGCCCCTTCGTCCAACAGAAATCTGGCAATAAAAATTCTCATTGCAATCCAACAACCAGAGATATGAAGCAAAAGACTGCAGGCAGTCAGCACTTCCATCCAAGATTCTGTGGCCCTGCTGGTCTCACCTTAGGGAGATGATATCCCCGGAAGTCAGTGTCCTTGATGACAAGGTGGGGGACACCAAAGGGGATGAGGTCAATGAATCTTTGTATCTCATGGATCACAGCATCTGTATAAGGCATTTTTGCCTGATCTTCAAGGGCTGGGAGACGATGTGGGCCAATCACTCTGTCAATCTCTGCCTGGACTTTCTCTAAGAACGGTGAGGGTGACAGGAGGGTTATCAATGAATGTCCATAACAATGGGCTTAGCCAAGTCACCTAAAAAGTGACTTGCAGACTGGGGGGAAGTTCTCATCAACGGTTTACTGAGATGTTGGGTAATTGTTCCTTCTCAATGAAAGTATCAAGAAAGAAAGTCAGTGGCTTGATTCGTGGGAAGTCTTGTCTGTTGTTTCCACTCTAGTTATGAGAGGGAATCACTTGCATAAGGATGGGCGGGTGGAAATTCATTCAACACTTAAGGCACCTATTTTTTTTTCAAAAAAACAAACTGAAAATGAGTTGTGGCTGGAAGTGGGGTCATGTCCCTCTGTCCCACTGATTTGGTATGTGATCTTGGATAAGTCATTTCTCCACTCCGGGACTAAATTCATTATGTGTAAAATAAAGGGGTTTGATTAGATGAGAGTTTCTCCAAGTCTGATCTACAGACCATCCACATGAGAACCTTTCTAGCAGCTTTTTATTTAGCTGTAAATCAGCAGTATACTCCAAATTCTGTCAAGAAGCACGTCCTTTTGTAGACTGCAATATGCCTTGGGAATAATAATGCTTTGTGCCTGGAGCATGCCCTGTAAACCATAAAGCACCTTACAACCTCCCAAGTGTTTTTGCAAATTACAAAACACTTCATAAGTACAAAAGTACCTTCTAAACCTTAGACTGCTTCATTGAATGAAAAAAACTGTGTAAACTATGAAGTACCTTGTCAAATTCAAAGAGATTTGTTGGCAGCAAGGCTTCAGTATAAGTTACAAACCCCTACGGGGTGGGGTTTTTAATTTTTCATATTGATTAAGACAGAAGTCGTCTGTTTTCACCTATCTCCAAAAGACCTTCCAGCAAGGCCTCAGAGAGCCTCCAATGTCCATGCCTCCATGCACCATAAGCCCAGCTCACCTAAGACATCCGGGTACTTAAAAAGGAGAAGAAGCGCATAGCGGAGTGTGGAGCTGGAGGTCTCCGTGCCAGCGAAGAGCAACGAGAGCACGGTGTGGATGAGATTCTTGTGGTGGAAGTCAGTCTCAGGATCTGAGCATTCCTGGGGGAGGCAATGGACAATCCTTGATGCCGCTCCTTGCATCCATTTTAGTTTCTAGGTCTTTGCATCTCCCCTCACACACCCATGTTACTCTGTGCCTGTTTTTCTGTTTCTCTGCTTCATTTTTTCTTTATTCAAGGCCAACAACGTAGCAAAAGAGTGGGCTCTGGAGCCAAAAGACTGGAATCAAGCTCAGGCCCTATCATTTACTAGCTGTGTGCCTTTGGTCAAGGAACTTAATCTCTCTGTGCCTTAGTTCATCAAAAGGTGTTGTTTTGATATTATGTATGGAAGCGTTCAATAATGTTAGGGATTGATTTTTTGTTGTTCTTATGATCTTCTCTGTCCTTTGGTGTCTTTACTCTCCTGATTGGCTCTTGCAGTTGTATAACCAGAGGTAACATTGAAGATATTTAACAACCTGTATGACTCCTGCCAGAGCAGTCAGAACAGACATGAGCCTCCAAAGCAGCAGACCAGACATGGGCTCTGACCAATAAGAACAGACTTGGGTCTCTGACCAATCAGAATGGGAGGGGCTTCTCAGACAGGGGAAACAAAAGAAAAAATAAACAAATGGGACTACATCAGACTAAAAAGCTTCTACAAGGAAATAGAACCACCAACAAAACAAAAAGACAATCCACCAACTGGGAGAAACTATTTGCAAATCATATATCCGACAAGGAGTTAATTTCCAAAACACATAAAGAACTCGTAGAACTCAACAAAAAAAAGCAAACAGCCAGATCAAGAAATGGGCAGAGGATGTGAACAGACATTCTTCCAAAGAAGATATACAGATGGCCAATAGGCACATGAAAAGATGTTCAACATCACTCATTATTGGGGAAATGCAAATCAAAAGTACAATGAGATATCACTTCACACCTGTCAGAATGGCTATTATTAACAAGACACAAGATAACAAATGTTGGAGAGGATGTGGAGAAAAGAGAACCCTCATACACTGCTGGTGGGAATGTAAGATGGTGCAGCCACTATGGAAAACAGTGTGGAGAGTTCTCAAAAATTTAAAAATAGAAATACCATATGATCGTGCCATTCTACTTTTGAATATTTATCCAAAGAACATGAGAACCCTAATTTGAAAAGTTATATGTGCCTTATTTTCATTGCAGCATTACTCACAATAGCTAAGACTTGGAAACAACCTAAGCATCCATCAATGGATGATAAAGAAGATGCAGTCCACACACACACACACGCACACACACAGTGGAATACTACTCAGCCATTAAAAAAGATAAAATTGTGCCATTTTTGGCAATGCAGTTGGACCTTGAGATTATTATGCTAAGAGAAACAACACAAAAACAATACCATATGATTTCACTGGAAAACAAACAACAAACACTAAAATAATGAGAACAGATTTGTGGTTACCAAAGGGGAAGGGGGTGGGGGGAAGGAGATAGGGATAAAGGGGCACATATGTATTGTGATGATGGAAACTAGACTTTTGGTGGTGAACATGATGCAGTGTATACAGAAGCTGAAATATATAATGAACACCTGAAATTTACACAATCTTATAAACCGATGTGACCTCAATAAAATATTAGAAAAAAAATAATGAGGTGGGGGAACAGGGTCTCAGAGGTCTCCTGCTGGGCCAGACCTTAACTCTTTAGCTGCTGCCTCTTAATAGACTTTTCAGGAGGGGATCCTGGGGAGCTAAGTAGGGAATGAGGGGAAGTGGGGTTGGGTCATTGGCATTCTTACTAACCCCTAGGGAAGAATTTCAATATTTAAACAACACATACATCATACTCAAACACACTATCTCAATGTCAGTAGTGTGCCCATAACTCTTTTTCCCACCCATCCCTAATCCAATTCAACCCTTGCCTTGTCCATGCGGAGCAGGAAGGAATCAATGAGGTCCCTTGGGTTGCTGGGGTCCAGCGTTTTCCAGTGCCTCTTGATGTTCTCAGAGGTAAAATTTTCCATTTCTTGAATGATTCTGTACAAGCGAGTGTGTGGGCCAGGAAAGTGTTTCAAGATGCTAGAGAGGAATTCAAACACCTACGGGGAAGCAGGGAAGGCCTCAGAACCGGTTCTAGGCTCTAGGCTTCTGTTCTGGGTGTTGACGTTGTGCACTGCACAGTAGAAACCTCTGAAGGGCACCATTCTCCACGTGGATTTCAGGAATGCGACTCCTACCTGAGGAGACACACACCCACACACCCAGACACACAGTGGGGCAGGAACAGCTGCACCCTGCCGCAATCACTCTTATGTCTGCTGAGGTTTCTTTCAAAGTCCAACCTTGTCAGAGGTCTGATTCCTCCTCCCAATCTGACATTGCCTCACCTGAAAGGATGTAGGGTGTGACATACGTACATAGAAAGGCAACCTCCTGATGCCCTCTTGCTTCAGTGTTCAGGATAGATAGCATCTGATCCCTTCCCAGGGTTCACCCACCCCAATTCCTGACCACTGTGGAATCTTTGGCCTCACCTGGCTGTAGAAAGAGCTGAGGATGATGAGGACTTCATTCATTAAATTTAGCAGCCGTAAGAATTGGGTGTCCTGGTAATTAAAGCGCTCACCAAATATAATGGAGCAGAGGATGTTGGCCGTAACAGAGTTAAAGAGGACGGTGGGATCCAGATAGGACCCTGGGGACAAGAGGTCTGTCATGTAGGTCCTTGTATTGCCCTAACACTTGTATTGCCCTAACACTTGTATTGCACTGGCGGTGCTCTCTTGGCTTTGTTGGTTGATGGCTTTCTCTGTCTCTTGGCCAGCCCAGCTCTCAATGGGTCTCTGCACCTCATTTTTCTTTCTGAGAGTCCTCTTTATGTGTCTCTTCTTGTTTTTCTCTGTCCCTGTCCGGGTCTGACTTTCTTGGTCTTCCTGTGTCTTTCTCTGGTCTTGTCTCTGACTCTTTCTTGGAGGCTCAGCCGCTTCTCTGTACTTGCTCTTTTCATGCCCCATCTCTTCGTGCTCCCTGCCTCCCTGCCTCACTGACCCTCCGTGTCTCCCCTAATCTATTTCTATTTTTATATTTTTAAGTCTTTTCCTTGCAGTTTCTGCTTCTGGATCAATCTTTGTCAGTGTCTTCAGTTTGCCTCTGCCTTTCTGTCTCTCTATCTCTTTTCTCTGTTTCTCTGTCTGCTTTCTCTGCCTTTCCCTCTCTTCTTCCCAGTCTCTGTCTCTCTCTCTCATCCTCATCCTCTTAGACTCTTTCTCTCTCTCTGTCTTTCTCTGAACCTGTGTCTGAATCTACCTGTCTGTGTCCTGGCTCTCTCTCCATCAGTCATGTTCTCTCTGTCCTCATCTCTGTCCCCATCTCGCTCACACTCTGCCTGCCCCTCTGTCTTTCTACCCCATCCTGGGCTCACCTTGGGATTTCCGCAGCTCCTCCACCAGACACTGAGACTCCTCCTTGATTCGTTCCTCCATGCTCCGTTTCCCCATGCCAAAGTCCTTCATGGTGGCCACAGAGAATCGTCGAAGGGTCTTCCAAGACTTTCCATTGGCAAAGGCAACACCTGATTGGTGCAGTATGTAAGGAAGGTTGGGAGGAGGCGTGGGGTGTTCTCTCAGCCTCTCTCCAATCCCCACCTCCATCCCGACTCACCAGCTCCCTGCAAGATGGGGTCGAGGATGGCAACGTGACCTCGGCCAGAAAAAGCCTCAGCCTGATCCACCAGGGCCTCTCTCACTGCCTCGTACCCACACAGGATGACGGCTGGCTGGGTCCCCAGGTAGATCGTGAAGACATCCCCGTATTTCTCTCGCAGCTGTGGGGGCAGGTCCTGATCTCACTCTCTAACTCAAGAGAAAGGTCTTAACGCTCCCACCTGGATCACACCTTCCAGGGTAGCCTAAATCCCACTGGCTGCAGCTCCATCAGGGAAGAATGGAGACTTGAACTCTGTGGCCTCCTTCACGTCTCCCACACATTCCCTCACCCCAAGTATCCTTCTCTTTCGGCTTTTCCAAGAACCCTCGCAGCTTTGGATTTTAAGAATTGCAGAGACTCCCCTCACCTGAGTTATAGTACTTCTTCTTCCCAATTGCCACAGGACCACAGCTCTAAGTGTCAAGTCTATCAGAATTTCTCCCTCCAGTCTGCCTTTCCTCCATTCTTTCCCACAGGAATTCCAGAAGCTTCTCCAGTGGGTAAGTCGGGCCAGGTCGCTGCTGGATGAATACAATCCCCAAGCTGGCCGGCCAAGTCCCACCCAGAGTTTTACCCCAACATGCTTTTCTGCTTGTGAGCTGTTTCCTGTCCAACTCCCTCCTGCTCTCCACCCCTTTGCCCTCCCCATCTCACCGCCTGGAAGGACTTGAGAAAGTCCTTGTGGTCCAGATGCAAAATGTTTCCCAGGAAGGGCAGAGGCCAAGGTCCAGGAGGGAGGCGACCCCGGGAAGTGGGCTGGCTCCAGAGTAGCAAGAGGCCAATGAGGATGATGAGAAGCAGGATGGCCATCAGCGCCATGGTTGTCTCTGTGCCTGTCTTTCCTCCTCCTACCTCTCTTAAAAAGCAGGCTGCTCTCTTGTTTGTTGTCTTATTTCTGTGATTGCTGGGACAAGGTATGCCAGGAATGTACCTTGGCAGATTCCAGGTAACTCTCCAGAGGAAACAAGAAGCTAAATGTGGGAGGTGCCACACAGACCAGGAGTTTAGCATCTTCATTGCATCCCAAGGCCTCCTTCCCATTGTCCCTGGCTGGCCAGAGTTATCTCCGTGGGCAATGCCACTGAATGGAGAGCACCTCTCTCAAGGAAGGGTGGAGTTGTCAACTGTGGAACTTGTGAGGCTGGGTTTAGGCTAGTTGCACTGCAAGGGTGGCTCTCAGCTGGTTTTGTCAAAGGGTGGGGGGCATTGCAACATGAGTGATCGACAGTAGCTGGCATTCAGAACTGGGGCACCTTGTGTCCTTTGGGGACAAGGATTTATTATGGGCATCATAGGAGAGTGAGATAGGGAGAAGGAAACATGGCCTGATAGGGAGGCCTAGAGTCATGTTGGGTGAGTTGGAGGTTTACCTGATTTAGCCGCTCATTTATTTATTCATTCATTCCTCAGCAAATATTTTTGAATACCTGTCATATGTCACACACTGTCTAGGTGCTGAGAGTACAGCAATGAACAACACAATGAGTTTGCCTTCATGGACCTGGCATTGAGTTGAAGGATTTGGTCTCCTCTTCTGGAAAGATCTCTAGTAACCTGACAATAAATGAGTCACATGTAAAATGGCCTGAATCACCACCTGACTCAAGAGGTCAGGGTTTGGATGTTTATTTGAGTCTCAGGGGACTTGAAGGGGAATATGAGGGAATCCACATCACCAGTTTAGAGTCACACAGCTCAGGGGCCACGGGCTGAGGAGGCCCTTTCATAGAAGGAAGAAGGGGAAAGCCAGTAAGAATGAGGATGTGGGACAACAACAATGGTCTACAACTATCATCAACAATGCAGATGAACCTAGAAAATGTCAGGCTGAGTGAAAGTGGCCAGACACAAAAGATCACACATTGTGTGACTCCATTCATAGGAAATTTCCAGAATAGGCAAATCCACAGAGATAGAAAGCAGATGTGTTTTCCAGAGGCCGAGAGGAAGGGGAAAATGAGGAGCGACTGCTGATGGGTGTGGGGTTTTCTCCTGGGGTGATGAAAATATTTGGAAGTAGATAGTGGTGGTGGATGCACAACATCCTGAATGAATCAACTCCCATTGAATTGCAAACTTTAAAATGGTTAATTTTATGTTATGTTAATTCACTTCACTAATTTAAAAATATATGTGGAGGGAGAAAGAGCTATGTTGAAGAGTTTGAATTCTAGAGCCACGTAGACAGAGTGGGAATCATGCTCCTCCACTCACTAGCCATGTGACCTCGGGCAACTGATGTCACTACCTGGTCTCTTTCTACTCATCTGTAAAGTGGGCATGATCATTGTACCCACCACAGGGGCTAAGAGGAAGAGGATTCAAACACAGTCATGTATGCCCAGATTGTGGAGCACAAGGGGTTGACAAGTGGAGGGTGTGGTTGTTCTGAGGAAGGGAGAAGTCACTCAGGGTCAGCTGTGGCCTGGGAGGTGGAACTGCAGGGATCCTGAGCCAAATTTCCTGTTTTAGCCCCCATTTCTATATATACATCACTTCTGGAATTCTATTAACAGAGGAAAGGCAAAACCTACTTGAGGCTTTAGAAGAGCTGCAGCATTATGGAAGGTGAGACTGCAGGAAGGACTTTCCCACAGAGGTGGCAACAAAGGAGGGGGAAGGATACAGGCTTGCAGTAGGTCTCTCAGAGGTGGGAAGACATGGAGAGAGTCAGGGGCCATTCTTTGCAGAGGTGGGGATACTTCATGACCATGGCATCCTTTGACCCCCTTCCCTCAGCCCCCTTGGTGGGGCAGGAAGCTGGTCTGGTACATTGGGAGTAGTTTGCCCACACGACTGCCCCATGGAGTGCAGTTGATGTCCTCAGGGGCCATGGTGCTGGCCAGGGAGAAGTTCTGGAGGATGGCGGTGAAGAATAGGAATAATTCAGTGTGAGCAATGCCTTCACCAAGACAAATGCACTTGCCTGTGGGCACAGAGGATCACCAATGAGGGCATGGGGCAGGTGCACATTCTTTGACCTGTCACATTCCAAAGTCCAGACATCTGTGTCCATTGCAACAGATTTGCATGGCATTGACCTTTAATCTGCAATTCAGAGTGGAGTTTTAGGGGGTTCTCAAACCCTGATGACCAAGAGGCAAATTTTAGGGTGAGTGTGCCTTGCACAATTTTCCTTGACAGCGTTTGCAGTTTCTATTAGATTTCCAAAGGGTTTGGTTTCCCCACAGGATCTAAAGACTCACTTCTGGTCAGATGTGTGTGTGTGTGTGTTTGTGTCTGCTCCACATGTAGGTGTGTGCATATTTGTTACATAACATTTCTAATGTCCTTCTTGTCTAATATGGGGAGAATGGTACCTATCTCGTTGGGCTATTGTGAGGTTAAACAAGTTAATATTTTTAAAATTTCTTAAAATAGAATTCTATCCTGGCCCATATTTAGAATCCTATAAATGTAGTTAGTGCTTTGTGTTTGTTTCTGGGTGTGTGAGGTGGAGAGTTTCTGTAGGGTGTGTCTCTGGTGCTGCGTATGTTTGTCTATCTCTGAGATTTCTTCTTGTCTCAGACTGAGAGCCATGTACTTCAAGAGTTCTGAAAAATCTCTGAATTGTACATTAAGTTGTAAATGAGACTGAGGCACTTGAGTTAGGAGTCTATGGCTTCCATCACGTTCTCAGAGGTGTAGAGATACCCCCTCCCAATAGATTATAAATAACCAGCTTGGAGAGAAATGAGGACAAAGGGAGCCCAAAACTTAGGCAGAGACACTGAGAACCTCCTCCTTTACCTCCACGATTCTTCATCCGCAAACTGACAACCTTGGAAGGGTAGGTCAAGGATGAGTTTCTGGGAATTTGCTAGACATTTCAAGTTGATAGACATCGTGCCTGTGTGAAGCTATCTGGGCAAGGGTCCACATCTTCCTGGCACATCCAGAAGTCAGGAGACATGTGCCTCGAGGTACTCTGGGCAGAACTCCGGACTGGTCCTTCTCCTCTAACTGGTTCTGCAACTCAGCTCTTTCCAGAACAACCTGACACGTGTTATCTCCCTCCCACCCCATCCTCCTCATCCCTGTGACTGTCCTTTGGATGTGCTTTGGTATCCCTTTGTCTCTCACACCTTTTTGGCTCAGGTTGTCTTTCTGGCCATGGCAGCCAGCCTCAGTCTTTTTGTTTGTCTATACCTCCTGTCAGTCACTGTTTGTCTGTCTCTCTCCTCTTTGTCTCCTTTTTTTCTGCATTCTCCCTTCTTACTTTCCTCCATGTCTCTGTTTGGCTCTGCTTCTCTCTTGCTCTCATTTGACATCACCCTCTAAAGATCTCTTTTCTCTCTTGTACTATTTCTTCTTCTCTGCTTATGTGACTCTCTTTGTTTCCTCTCTCTTATCTGTGTCTCTCCCTTTTCCTCTCCCCTTCCCTCCTTCCTTCTCTATCCCCTCCTTCTTCCTTCTTCTCCTTCTCTCTCTCTCTCCCCTCCTCCCTGTCTCATCTCACATTCACTCTCTGTCCCTTTCCAGCAATACCTCCCCTGTATCTTTCTCCCTCTGTGTCTCTCTTTGTTCCTCTCTCTGTTTCTCATTCCCTCTATTCTCTGTCTCTCTCTGTCCTTGTTTCTCTGTCTCTCTGCTTCTCTCTAAACATAGGACAGGATTATTGAATGGAGGAATTGACCCACCCCCCCAACCACATGGCCGTCAACTCTCACTTAAGATGAAATGAGGGAGGAGGCCATTGCACTGTGCAGAACCAAAGTCCTGGGTCGCTGAAGTGATTGATACAACTCAAGACAGGGACTTGATCTTGGGTCTTCCTTTCTACTGAATGGTAAGGAACCTGGGGCTAGAGGTTTTCTCTAGATGGGGCCTAAGTTCGGAAAATGGAAACAGAGACATGTCAGAGCATGTCACGAGCCTCTCTGGTTCCCCAGTGCCAGCAGGAGAAATCCAAATGCCACCCAACTTTCAAGGCCCTCCAGGTGAGGTCCTCACCCTTATCCTCACCTGTAATCCTCAAGAAGGCTCACTGATCTGTAGTTTTTCAAATGCTCCACACTGCCTCCGCCTTCAGGTTTTGCCCTTGCTGCTGCCTCTGTCTGGAACACTCTCCAGTGGCTGACTGATGCTCACCCATGAGGTCTTTGCTTAGAAGCCAGGGCTTCAGGTAAGCTTTTCCTCACCAACCTACCAAGAGTAGTCAGTAATTCTTATTTTGTGCTCCAAAGGTCCCCTTAGGAACACTTATCACAAGTATGATTAATTATAATAGTAATAATTGCCCCATAAGCACTTAATTTGTGCCACCCAGTTCTAAGCACATTGCAAGCATTAATTCATTCAATTAGACACTATTTTGTGACCACACAGTGAATGTCCATCTCCCCTGCTGGAACATAAATTTCCTGGGACAGGAACTGTGTCTTTATGTTGCTTGTCCTGTGTATTATCTTTGGACTCCAATAGAGCACTGGGCTGAGAGTAATGCTGAACAGATATTTTGTACTTACATGCGGAGATGTGAAAACACTTGCCCAGGATCCAACTTATCAACATGTGTCTGGGAGGTGATCTCACTTCTCAAACCCCCTCTAGGATTGTAGTGGGTTAACACAGGTAAAGCAAGTGTCATATGCTCACTGCTGAATAAATAAACACCTCTCGTTGATTGCCTCAAGGATGGGATGGCACCTGCACTCTGGTGTCTGGGAAAGGCAGTGTGGTTCCAGCTTGTCTGTGGAGAAGGGGGTAAAAGTTTCATTCTTCTTCAGTGATCCTTTGGCATCCAGAAAGTGGTCAAGGTTGAAGGCGTCTGGTTTTTCAAAGTAACGTGGGTCATGGAGAGCAAAGCTCAGGATGGGCTATTCT